CCCTATCCTATAAAAAAAAAATACTCGGTGATTTCCGAAATTAAACATGAAATTATAATCTTTTAGCCAATGTTCAGTAATACAAAGGATATTGTTACTATTTAAAAACAATTCAACTTCCAATTCAGGGCCAATCATGCCTTGTATATTTTGATGCACCAGGTGCAAATAATTTTTATTAAGTACTTATTTGTGGGCTGTATTCAAAATTAATTAAACTCTTATTATTGCTAGAGATTGCCTCTATTATCACATTCACTAATTTCAATTAGTTGGAACTGATTCCAAATTAAATGTCAAATGGTTATGCTCAATAAAAGCAGTCTTGGTAGCCAAAAACTTGGCTTATATTTGGATAGGTAATACCTATCTTTTGTCCAAAACTTTTTTATTAAATTATTTACGTCAATTACATGAAATTCATGATCATTATCATTACAAATATATGTCATATTTAAATTATTATTACATATTAAATTATGCATTTGTATATTTAAATTATGTCTTAAATTATTTTCCTGTGGCAATCCCTGTATATAAGGCAGTGTGAACAAGACAATTTTGTGTACATTTAAGTTATTAAGTTGTTCAATATATCTTAAAAACTGTTTGTTGTTTACACTGCCTCTTCTACCAACAAAAACTATTATTGTACTATTTGGGCAAAATTTAGTTACAATAATTTTATTTAGAATGTCACTAAAAGATGCTCCAGGTATGAAGCAATTTGTAACTTTTTGCCCCTTTAAAGAGTTATTTAAAGTTATGCCTAGATTTTTTCCCATGTCATCGCTATACACAATTATATTATTTTTGGTAATAATTGAGTTATTTATTATTTTAATATCCTCTGCTACGGCACTGTCATAGTCATAGAGTTTTGGTGGTGGTAAAATATTATCAGCACACACTGACTGAAGAATCTGGCAAAAAACACGCTTCACTTTTAGTCTTGGTATTCTCCTCAGCAAAGCTTTTATTTGATATCCATATCATTGGAATGCATAAAAAATAACTAGTCCTCCATTTTTGAAGTTCGCCATATTGGATTTAGAATGAGGTCACTTATTTTCATCTAAACTTAATGTATACGCAAAATTTCCACTCCATCGAGAACCTAAAAGTTGGTCAAATTTAACTTTCAAATTTTTTTACATAATTATAGGTGAAGATATTATATGCGTGTTAGAAATAACTATTATTATGATTAATGAAATCTGATATTTTGTCTATAATTAATTTTCAAAAAAGGTATTTAAAAAATATTTATTATAAAGAACGAAACTAAAAGTACATAGAAACCTTTAAATCTTTTATTGAATAGCTAGATCTATATGAAAATTTGGTGTAACAATGGTCCTGCAGTGGGTCAACGCCTTCCATTCTCACATCTTCATCAGAATTCATGCCAGAGTCTTTATCACAAGACTCGGATGTGACATTAATCCATTTAAACTGGCACCTTTTGTATTCGTAGCCCATAGTCTTTAATCTCCTACTCAACGTTGTTCTGACATATTTAAAATCAATATCAGCTTGCAATTCCAACCAAAGTTTATTTCTGACAGGAATCTCATTCTTCACAACGTCAAACGATTGATTTAAATGCCTTATAGCGCCACGTATGAAAATTGTCTAAATCATAATTTTTTTCCTCCGGTTCCTAGTTTTTCTCGGCGTCACAATTTTAGAAGATGAAGCTGCTGCTACATTATGTATCCTCTTGAGTTATTTGGGTAATGGTGAGTTCAGAAACGCCTAAAACATAATAAAAACAATGCATTATAAATTTATGATATTAATGACAAGAGAAAACTAAAAACGAACAAATCGAGAAAATTAGGGAGTTTTATTTGTTATGGCAGCCCTAAAAATTACCTGTGAAATATGAAACGTGGGTTCTAACTTTGGAAAAGGGTACTGTAGGCCCGTTATTGTCTCGTTCTTCATCACAAGCACTTTCGGCATAATTATGACGATTATTTACTGCAATAACGAATAAAAACACGACACCTAACAATCTGTTTTGGCACCTGCCATAAACACATACCACATAATAAGGCACACGATGACACGATTAGTTCCAATTTTGGCCGCACGCAAAGTTATCTTGCGCGCACTTTAGCTATTTCTTTCGTGCCGAATTGTGCCGCTCTATCATTCGAAATCGGTTACAGAGTCATGAGATTTGGTATCCTTTTCTATCTAGCATTTTTGCCTTAAGGAATTTTATTCTCCCTTGCACACTGTGTAGGTCTATACGTCAGTATATTCTAAGTCTATGCTCACTACATAAACATGAATCTGAAGTGATTTCTTATATTTATGCGAACACTACACATTTAAATAAAACTAATTTTACGGATTTTATCGCGTATATTAACTTATTTTATATTACCGACGTTTCGGGTGCTTTCCAGCACACGTGGTCACGGGGGACCAACAATGTACTCTGTGCGGGGGACTGAGGTGTTTGACGTCCTGCTGTCATAGTTAGCCCGGCTACCTTCAGTTTTTTAATATTAATTTTTGGTTCGATTTACGCAGAATGAGCTTACGGTATCTTGAAGTCTAGCAGTGGTATACTTGGGTTTGAACATGTTCACAAACTGCAGACTTCCCGATACGTCGGTGCTTCACGTCAGCTATATGTTCTTTAACGCGGGTTTTTATAGATCTTTTTGCTTGTCCTATGTACGAGAGACCACATTCACAATCCAGCTTGTACACTCCTGCATCTTGTAGAGGGATATGACACTTGACGGATGGTAAAAATTGACCAATCTTCTTCAGCGGCTTGAAGTATGTTTTAATGGAAGCTCGCTTCAAGATGTAGCCAACCTTGTCTGTGACTCCTCTGACATAGGGTAGTACAGCAGGCACACGCTCGACTGTGGCTGGCTTCACTCGGTCACTGTGACGTAGGCGCGGGACTCGAAGCTTGTTGTCTTGCAGTACTTGCTCGACGTGCTGAAGCTCGACGGCCAGATGTTTTCTGTCACAGATCCCTCGTGCTCTCTGAAACAAAGATTTTCCCACGGTAGCTAACTGTGAAGGATGATGGTGCGATTCACCATTTAAATATCGGTTGGTATGGGTTTTTTTCTGTACACAGTATGATCAATAGTGTTATCAGGATTTCGGATGACTAAAACATCTAGGAAAGCTAAAGTATTGTTTGCCTCTTACTCCATTGTGAATTGTATTTTAGGGTTTATGGAATTAAGATGGTTTAAAAATGCAGTTACTTTGTCAGATGGTAAAATTGTGAAAGTATCGTCTACGTACCGCTTGTAGAATCTTGGTTTTACAGGAGCAGTAAGAAGGGCTTTCTCCTCAAAGTCCTCCATGAATATGTCGGCGACTACGGGAGATACAGGTGAGCCCATTGCCCAATTCACTAGGTAGCTAAGCTACATTGCAACATCGATATGGAAAGATTCGAGTAGTTTTACTATTTATCGGTAGATGTAGATAGTGTAAAGTGGGCGGGGCTTTGCATCCCCCTCACCACGCAAATTGTCACGCGTTGTTACATTGTGAAGTTTAATTACAACGTCTCCTCTTTGTATTTACTTCATATGAGGAATAAACATTTTAAAATAAATAATTAAAATACGGCAATTTAGTATTTTTTCCTTAAAATTCGGCAAACCAGACTGTTTGTGACATACGGCAAATTCAGATCTTTGCGATGGCAACACTGCCACCGCCATCCGTCCGCCATTTTGTGTTTTCGTCTGCTCTTTTTCTCAGTGTGTAAATTGGATGATAAAAAATCGTATGTGATAGGATTTAAGATTTCTTTATAGTGAATTTTTAGTGTTTCCTAATGTTTTCCTTATTTTAAAATTGTGTTTGCAATTAAACTAGTACATTTTAGGTAAGTCAGTTAAATAATTCAATTCTCGAGCGTTACCAAGCAGTAGCATGACGCCCTAAAAACAACGCTAAATTAGATGCTGATAGTTATGAGTTATCAAATTCAGTCGCTTATTTTGCATATATTTTATCAGGATTGTTACTTTTCAAATAATCAACCTAAACATCGTAAATACTTGCTCATTTTCTCGTTACGTTGATATTGCTTGTAGCGGCCATTTTATTGGCAATACAAGGTTTTGAGTAGGTACATGATTGAGGCTTCAGTGAAGGAGAAAATTGGATATAACTATTGTGTTATCACTAATGTGGCATTATTGATCATATACATAGATTAATAGGTTCTTGATACATCATTTTTGTTATTTAATTATGTACATATTATTATGTTAAGGGCATGAGAGGGATATCTTCCGTAACTTGTTCTGTTTAGGATAGGTATAATGCCTGCCTCGTTAGACTATGAAATTTGCGGCAAACGCTGAGCTACCTCAAACTAGCGTTAATAGTAGAATCGATTCTAAATTCTTTGTTTATCCATGTGCCCTTTATGTGACTGCCTCGTTGGGTTCGAATCCCGCGTCATGCCAAAAATTAGTTATTAGCTTTTTCTGTCAAGATATTCTCAGTGGCAGCCCAGAGTCAGGAATTTGGTGATATTTCATTCACCCCCGTGCCTCTGAAAGCACATTAAATCGTTGGTACCGCGCCTGATCTCTTCAGTCGTGTTGAATTACAGTCCCATTGGCCTATGAGAGTGAGAGATTAGAGTGACCATACACTTGGACACTATAATCTTGTCCTGCACAGATGTCTAGTCTGCATTGAAAACAGGCTGCCATGAAATTCTTTCTGGAAGACATAAATATTATATTCCATAGAATGCAAAATATTTATTTGATCTTTGAGCTAATATCATGTAAAGATGAGATAGTATGGTATACTAGAGCTATGCCTGAACATTTTAATAAAACTAAAGTAATAAATAATATAAAAAAATTAAAAAAGTAACAACATTTTATAATGTATTTTAGAGTGTATAGATATTTTATGATTCAAATCGAAAAATGGAAAGGACGTTTCACTTTTTTATAGGTTACGGATACAGCAGCATCAAAATGAGTGTCATCATTAGACTCCAGAACCTTCCATGGTCAGCCAATGCCCTCGACATTAGGAATTTCTTTCGGGGGCTCTCCATTCCAGAAGGGGGTGTACACATCGTAGGAGGCGAGCTTGGCGATGCGTTCATTGCTTTCAGGTAGCTATATGTACCCTTGACAAATATATACTTTCTGGAATTTTGTTAGATTTTCTAAGTTATGTAAGATATATCTCAGTTTTATTATAGGTTTTAAGTAGGCTTAAGTAAAACTTTATTATACATAATAAAGGGTGTATTCCTAATGCCGTCTTTATACCTAAAAACTTAAAAGTACCTCATATAAAAACTAAACAAATATGAACCTTAAAGATCCTAGAAATACAAATCAATTCTCTATTGTGAATTGGCTTGAATTTTTGTCAATTCTATAAATATTATTTACCATTCAAAAAATAAATTAAGGTAAACCAAAGGATTTAAGCTTGTAAAATAAATAGATATATAATTATTGCAAAGGGTCACTAAGAAAGACCCATTGACCTTGAAATCTAGTGCCTTGGTTCACTATATTCTGTACATAATGGTAAGTATTTTTGTCTTATTGCCATATTAGTTCCCAAATCGGTGCAATCTGTGAAAAGCAGTGCAATAGATGAGGCTTTTTAATTTTAATAATTCTAATTGTATCTTCCTAATACTTGAATTTTTCAATCATATGTGGGGAGATGACAGCATTTTTCAATAATTAAACAAAAAATTAGATTACAATGATGTTAATTGTTAAATTAAAACTGTTAAAATCTCTTCTACATGTAACAAAAAAATTTTTTTTTCATTATTGTGATTATCACAGGTTAATTTGAGTGTGCTGGAGTGTGCAACCAATATTTATGCAAAAACCAATCATTGGTTTATTTTTGTATGTTACGTCTCATATGAATATGATTGTGGAGTCACAAGATGTCACCATTGAAATAATTTGAAAACAATAACAAATGCAAGATAAAAAAATGTAACATAGAGGAGTACAATTAATATAATTTAAACTGTCTGAATTAATAAAAAAGAAGTACCTTACAAAAACAAATTAAATTATAAAGCATACACATGGCATCTGTCACTTCACAAAAATTACACCTGTCTCTTAGTCGGAAAATTTTGACTAAGTGACATAATATATAAAAGAACATTGGCAGAAAAATAGTTGACGAAAATTATTGCGTCTAGAAATAAGTTATATATAAAATTATTTTTATTATTTTTCTATGATTTTTCAAATAAAAATGTATTTTAATTAAAGCCACAGAAAAAAAACAAACATTTTAGGGAATATCAAATGACTTAAATCATTTTACTCTATTCATGTGTTGCCATTTTTGTATACACTTTGTAAAACTACAAACTAAAGCAAAATGTCACTTTTTTTTTACTGGCTTGACGGCTCTGGGTGCTAGCCCTTCTGAGAATGTCACTGCAAAGACCCTGGAGCCATGCCAGAAATATACATTTATAGTAAGCAAATATATAATAGAGATAGAGATACAATAATCTAAAAACTCAATTATGTAGGTAGGTACATTATGTTGAGAATGTATTAAGCTAACATCAAATAACCACAGGACGCATGACTTTTTCCAAGTGACATAAGACATCACCTATAGGTTCAAATCTAAATATCGTTTTTTTTTTCTTAGGACAAAAGTCTTTGACAGAGTTATTAAGAGACCGACGCTTAACATTTTAAGATATTTTTTATATATAGATGCTACCATTCCTTCTCAACTAATTTTATGTATGAAAGTCTGCCATTGTTCTTTCATCATCATCATCATTACAGCCTTTCATAAGTCCACTGCTGAACATAGACCTCCCCCAAGTAATGCCACAAAGCACGGTCCTGAGCCACCTGCATCCATCGACTTGCTGCATCCATAGACTTCCTGCACTTTTTTTACTATTGTTCTTTAACTGTACAACATTCTGATATGTGGAAACATAAAAATCTGATATTTTTATGAAATCATACTGTACATTAGGTTGCAGAACTACTATTAATGATAGCAAAGCAATGTGAAAAGTAAATAAATGGTAAATTTACCCATTACCGTTATAACCTATTAAAGTCCCCTATTGAACAAAGGCTTCATGTAGATTGCCTCATAAGGGAGATATTTTTGCTGCTGCAACACTTGACAGGCAGGTCGGCAACTGCATTTTTTATTATAAAGATGCTGTCCCCTATATCCTAGTTTGGATCCCTTTGGCATATCTAACATCACAGACTCTGAAATTTAGGGTAGTGGATATTCTTACACTGGATAAATTTACTATAAATAAATAAGTTTATTTTGGTATTCAATCCAATTGACTAACAAATGTATAGCTCTCTACCATACCTGCAGGGTTAGTCAAGTTTACTGCAATCAACAATTCTAAACGAAAACTATAAAATAAAATAGAATTTATAAAAAACTTGACAAATGAGATTATGTCTGAATTTGTCAAGTTTTTTTTTTTTTATAGAAGAAGGGTGACAAATGAGCACACAGTCCACCAGATGTTAAATTGATGCTGCGGCCCATTGACATCTACATCTATCTATTGTGTTGTCACCCCTGAGGACTAAGATGGAATACCTTGTTTGGATAAATAGGGGTCTCTGGTTCTCTACATTTTATGAAACATAACAACATTAGACTATTTTTTTACACACCCATTCATACTATGATCATAATAAATGGCTCTAACACAGATAGTTTTCAAATTTTTATAGTTTTCTATTAATATAGTCAACTTGGGTAACCCCCTGGTACTCTAGATGATAACAGCCTAACTTATAATCATTGATTATCATTTACTTAAATTAAGTATTAACTGTCTCTATAACTGTCTACTTCTGATGTCATTTAGTGGAAAAGGAGAGACAGCCAACTCTAAGCAATTCTTAAATTAATGTTGGTTCTTACGAGTGAAGCTGCACATACTAAAATTTGTTTCAGTTAGAGTATATTACTGATGCTAAATTTGTTAAACTGGTTTAAACTGTTAAAAGTAACTGGATTTCATAACATCTCACTTTATCATACTTAGGTCAAATTCTTCTGAATGGTCGGGGCATTTTGATTACACATTTCGAATGTGAACAAATATCCAAATCCTAGACAATGTTTTGTGTAGGATTTGCATGTTTGTTTAGATTTTAACAATACAAATATATGTTACATACGGGAATTGAATCCCAGCCTGCAGTGCTTCAGTCAAATGCTTAGTCTAATAGCAAACTGACATTGCAATGTCAGTTTGATTTTTAATGTAACACATTTTTTATGCAGGGCGAACAAAAAATCTGAATGTAATATCTAATAAAACAATAGAGTTGTGGTATGCATGTAAATATAAGAAATCATTATACTGGATGACTTTTTTTTACCAAAAGGAAGAAAATAGGGTGTAATAGGTGAAGAAAGCAGAAGCCTACGTAGCAAAAGATATTGTTTAATTTTTTTTTACAAGCAAACATAATTTTTTTTTAAATTAGGGTGACAAATGTGCACACAGTCCACCTGATGGTAAGTGAAGTTGATGCTGTGGCCCATAGACATCTACATTTATCCTCGATTATGAATTAAAATGCAGATGAGTTGTCTCCCCCCTAGGGGGTGAGATGAAATGCCTCGTTTCCAGGAAAAAATACCTCAGGTTCTCTACACTGACCATATGAAACAGCAGCATTAAGCTGCTATTTTACGCTAGTATTCTGTTAGAGCATGGTTCTTCCCTGATCGAGTCGACTAACTCATGCTACAACCTTAATATAGCCGCATGGCTCTATCACATATTGTAAGTTCAATGAATATGTAAGAATTCGACCTTAAACCAGCTGCTAGTACCCATTTATTGTTAGATCAATTTGATAAAATGTCAAAAAAAAAATTAAAAATATCTATGTCAGAGACTTCTACTGCCTTTACCGATTACACCTTATTTGTGTCCTCACAGTAAAAAATGTCACCCAGTAGTTTTTGTTGCACATAATTTCTCTAGGAAGGCTGTGCCACATTCAAGATCGTCCTAACTAAAATTTTCTAAAACGCAAACAATCCGATTTGTGGGACTATTGAAATAAAAAAATAATCTTGATTACAACATAGGAGAGATGGCTATGTGACTATCAATTAGGTGATCCTGTGGCTATTATAATTAAATCCAAACACTGTGACTTCAAGATACTATTATGTTTATATATATAGATTCGAAATTAATACTTAATTCTGAAACAAGCCCATGTAAATTTTTATGTCAGAACATTACCTTTGTCCACCCCCAAACAAAAGGATGTAGTATTAAATGAAAACAATGTATCTCACAAGTAATACATATTAAATTAGATTGTTTAGTGCGATTACCAAGTCAATCTATGTATTTAAAACATAAAAGTTTTTAATATTGATATGGTCACTATAAGATATTGTTAGGTTAGCTAATTACGTAATAACTTGAGACAGAAGGACCCATTAAGTAGGGACTGAATAAATTAACCGACTTGGTATTACATGGATCTCTCAACTTTTTACGGTAGAAAAACTGAGTTGCGAGACTTGGTTTTTTTACAAGTTATGTTTTTGATGGCATCTCGTTTCTTTTTGTAGATAGTCCTACTTTTTTTCCTTTCCGGTACCATCTACTCCTTGAACACCAACTACGGATTTTCGGGCAATTTAGTCTACTTAATAATTTTGGTACAACTTCATAAGACATGTCCCATTCTTGATTTTTCATACCGTTGACCATTTAACAAGTTGCCTTTGAACATAATTATATCTAGGTACCTATCTACATCTATTATTCCGTTATATTATACATATACGGGTACACAGATTCATTCACTGCAAATGTAACTTTGTAATCCTATATATTTATATAGGATTACAAAGTTATTTATGCAGTTGGTGTATTTTTTTTTTTATAGGATAAGGGTGACAAACGAGCACACAGTCCACCTGATGGTAAGTGGTTGCTGCGGCCCATAGACATCTACATCTATCCTCTATTACAAATCAAAATATAGATGCGTTGTCACCCGTGAGGACTAAGATGGAATGCCTCATTTCCAGTAAAAAGGGCCTCCGGCCACCTGCACTCACCAACCGAAACGC